GATTTTGTTCCCTTTTTCTTTTACAGAAACGTGCCAGCTGACAATAACAACGATACAAAATACTTTTTGTGTCTTTCAATACTTGCTTCATTCTATTGTACCAGCTTAAGGAAAACTCTCTAAAGGGATGAGAAAACATTTATAATGTTTTTTCCGTTAAATCAGTGGCTAAACTGTAAATTTCATATAGAACCATTCTCAAAGTGAATGCAACTGCAATTTAAAGACCGGTTACATATAAAAACATGATTGCTATTTTCGACAACCTATTTCTATTATTGAAAAATGTTGTTCCGTTGGAATGAAGATAATTGAAAGAACAATAATGTTTCCCACAATCGCCATTGATTTCTTGCCGTTGCAAATCAGCTTTGTCCTTAAATGTTTTATCTCCGGTCTGACATAGTGCTTTTAAATGGCAATAGATGCATCCATAAATATTTACAAAAATGACTTTACATTCCTTTATGTATATAACGCGATATAACTGGCAACGTTCACTTTGAACGACTACCAAACGCGGAAGGAAACATTGATTACATAAGTAGCTTTAATCTAATAGGCAGTTTAATTTCTTCAATAATTGAAGTTCATAACGTTCGTACTAGAATTTGAATTCCTCCTAAACGTTTTTAATGAAAAACGGTTTAGGATGATTTTACAGTTGTCTTGAATTGAAACAATAATAATTTATCGTAGTCTTGTCAGTATTATTAGATTTGCAAAACCAAATAGATTTGTAATATCGGTATGATATCCTTGATATTGTGTATGTAAAAATGCTCCAGTAACAAAAATGCAAATACAGTCTCTAAACATTTATCACCATATCTGATCATACTCTACTATAGATCAATATTAGATTAGAAATAAAGTGCTCAAAGTTATACTTGAAAGCTATACAGACATCTCTAGCATCTCTATTGCAAGAAGACTATTAAAACTTCAAAACAATGTTAAGTTGTCAAATCCAATTATAGCATTGATTCATCAATTTTATCTTTTGCGTTAGATAAGTTGATTTTACCTCAATGAGTTTCATTATGATTCAAAACGTTTAAGGGCCTTTAACTTTTGTCTATTAGGGACATCACATCTTCTCCAATAATATAAGCAGAGCAAATTCGTACCTTTCTATTTCAAATACTTTTTTTGTTTTGAAAATATTAAAGCTATATTCTCGAGAAATCACATAACATTTCTTTCAAGCTGACTGTTGAAATTGAGATTTTATACGCTTATATTTGCTATGCTATTGATATCTGCGTTGAGTTTGTGGATATCGTGTTCCCGTCCGAGACATGAAGACGATATAAACTCTAAAACGGCGTTTTAAAACAATATGGCTTGATGTTTGTCTATGTCAACAAGCCAACAAACAATATAGAAACCAAAACAAAGAACAAATAAACTAACTCAAGTTTTTCTAGGATTTCATGCCAAAGTGCTCACTATAGAAGGAAAACATATAATGTAATAGTATTGCGTAGTATATTGCACTAAGATGTACATACTGGTTCTGTCGCTAGGTGGTATAAATATATATACATAATATATGATAATTTGGGAAGTATATCATTTACCTTTTTACACGAGACGTCATAGGGTCTATGATTGATCATTAAAGTTGTAGCAGATTACAAGATATGTTTACATAATGTTTTATTCCTGTTATGTCAGACTAATACAGACCATGAAGAGGAAGCCTTGTTCCGAGATCTGAGTAATATATACAAATTTGATAACCATCAAGAAAATTGCAGACAATAATATCATTGAAATGTTATGAGATCAAGACGCCCATTCTGATGTCGTATCGTGCCAGTTTTGCATATAAATATTTTTAAAGCATTTCACAATAAACTAACAACAGTTACAATTTTTTAGCAGATTGTGATACTTTATTCTGATGTTTAAAGTTGGGATGTAAAGGGAACCTGTTATTTATCTGATTGATATAAAATTGATACTTATGGATTTTGTGAAAAGGCAATTGCAACTTCTCTGGCCTTTTAGTCGGTCATAATAGCCGATCGTTCCGATTGGAGGGTGTTTTGATTAAAAAAAAATGGAAAAAGGAAAAATTTTTGGAAAAAATTTCGCAAAAGCAAAACAAAAATTCAAAAAAGGGAATTTAAAAAAAAAAATTTTCTTTTTCCGTTCAAAAATTTTAATTTGCCCGTTTTCCCTTTTACTGCGCTCTACTTTTTTATTAATAATTGTAGTACAGGTATGTTATTGTTTCATGCATCCGAAAGGTATATAGAGTGATCCCCTTGTATCTAATTTTATGAGGGATGATTTTTCGCCGGTCGCTATCGGAAATTTCCCCGGCCCTTTTCCCGGTCTATATTGACCGGGCTTTAATAGAAACCGTCGAATTTTTAGGGGTTTTAAAATTAAATATGACACCACAATTTTTTGAAACATTTTTTTAATTTCTTATTCGGTTAATAAGATGCTTAGGAATTTTTTCTAAGTTAAAAAATTTAAATTTTTTAAATGAATTATTTAATTGATTGACAATTTAAAAAATGATAAAGAAAAATACAAATGTACATGGTTTAAGAATAAACAATATAGTATAATTATTCTGGTAAAAACCAATATACCATTGAAAAGAATATCTTGTCATCATATGTCTACTAGTTCATCTTCACTTGCTGCTTTTCTTGCTTGAACGCCCTTTGATGCTTTTCTTGTACATTGTATAATGCTAATAATATCATCTTTTTTTAAAGCAGCACGCCTCCAGATTCATTCTAATTTTCATGAAAATTTTGAAAATTAATTTGAATGTGTAATATTGTGAAATAACCAAAAGGAAGCAATTTACACATTCTCAATGACACTTACAAACCACATAAATTACCAAAAAGTGGTCAAAGTTTGTATAAATAGCATTTACTGCGTTAGTAACGCAGTAGAAATATAGTTGTTAATACTGAAAAAATCAATAATTAATCGCACATTATATGTAAAATATTGCTTGAATCCTGAAACGTTTTACTTTTCCTTACATCTTAGTACATTTTTTTCAAGTTTGATTTTATTGAAATATTTTGACTCATCTGGAGGCATGTAGCTTTAAAGATGCAACGGTCTAAAACATTATGATATAAATTTACATCTATTTACAAATGGAACCTTTATTTCTATATGTTTTTAAATTACTAAAAACGACAAATTTTCCCACAACAACTGAACTGCTTAATTTCTTTTTTTTTCTAAACAATTTTTCAATCTATTTCTTTCTCTAAACATTTTTTTTCAAATAAAATGTCCTGTTGCCAGTAAAGCGAACCGTGGATATATGTTTATGTTGAACTTAAGTTTTGTATTTCACAGTTACTAAAATTTGAATCGAACGTAAATTTACATAGCTATTTACTGTTGTATATTTGGCCTGCCTATTGAAACACATGTTTTGGTCATAGCTAGGCGGTTAATCCACCTAACTGGATTTCCTGGACAACTAACCAGTAAGTATCGTTTTTTGATTTCTGAATCAGCGGTGAGAGACAAATGACGAGATCTGCAACCCCTATATAACTATTAGTATCTAATGGTCTTCCTATTGAGCTAAGCGGCAAACTATTTTCTTTTGTAACCACCGGTGATATGATATTATGAATTACAGGCGTAAAACGAGCATCTCAAAGCAGTAAATGTTTGATTATTTCATCAATATGATATTTTCAATTTAAGTAGTTTTCTTTTGTCAGTCTTTGCGTTTGTTATGATAAGAAATGATTTATCATGTGATACGCACACTCTAGTTGGATATTCCATATCTGGCTTGTACAATGATAAGATCTGACCAGTTTGTGATATCTGAACAACGGCGTGATTTCCCATACAACAAACTAGGATAGTATCATAGGGGCCAACTGCTACACCAAGTGGTCCCTGTATCTGATCATCCTTCACCACGACTCTTGTGTTTGTCTTGATATCATATATGTAGACAGTATTCTCGTAGTAGTCTGTAAGCACCACTTTATCACTGCTCCTTATGTAAGTACAAGCACTGTCCCCTATTGGATATTTCTTTTTCGGGAATTTGATTTTGAAATCTTTCTCTTTTCCGTTAAATGATACAATACGAACTGGTTTTGAATGATCAACTGTCCCGCAGACAAAATGTTCATCATCTTTGAGGCTTATCGACCATATTTTTTTTTCAATTTGTTGTTCTATAAAAAGTTACCTTTTAGTTTTTGTTGCGAAAATGTCATTATAAAAATTGTAATTGCAATTTCCTCTCAGATACGGGAAAACAGATAGTGGATAGTAAGATAATTGTATGAGCCTATTTTTCTTCAACTCCTCGTTGTTTAACAGGAACTTTTTATTAAAATTATTACAGAAAACTATTGCCATCAGGAAAATAAATCAATTCCCTATAAAAGTGGCCTTTTCTTACCCTTTGCCTCAAATAATAAAACTTTTTGGTGTTATTTTAAATTACCTTACTTACGGGAAATTTTGAAAGTTTGACTGCCTTGGATACACAGGACGTAAGAGTAAGTTGTCCTGGAGCACAATCAGGGACTGGTCGAGGGGGGAGTTTTAATTTTACATCAAATTCAAAGGAAGCAGCCACTGTCTGTAAACCTTGACATTCTGGAACTACATTTTTGTGAGGAACTCTGTCGTCAGTCTTCACCTTCTGCTCTTCTAAAACCGGTTGTACCAATGTTGTAGATCTAGCTGCCTTTGATACACAGGACGTAAGGGTAAGCTTTCCCTGGACAAAAATCAGTGATTGCACGGGGGGGAATTTTTTTTTAAAATGTTTCATCAAAATAAAGGGTAGCAGCCCAGGGGTTCTAAATAACATTCTCATTACTTTTTTTGTGAAAAATATTACGTCATTCTTCATCCCCCTCTCTGCTATGAATTTTTTGTACCCAGTTCCTTTTTTGAAAACCTTGTAAATCGTCCCCAGACACGTTGTTATACAGCTAGTATTTTCTCATCCGTGCTGTTTAAAATTGTCAGTTTTTTAATGTCTCTTTCTTAAACGATTCAACGTCTTTAACAACGGAAATCTTCAGCTCGTCAAACATTTTCATCTCTTTATCCCGCATTTGCCTGATTTTGACTGGTATTTGTTTAACATCTTTGCCTAATTTCTCTTTTGAGGAGACAATTATGTTCACTATTATTTCAGTTTTCTGTCTAACGTTCTCAAATTTATTCTTTAACTGCGAGGATTTCAAGAATACCCTTTTAGCGACCTTTTGAATTTCCAAAACGCTCCGGCATTTGCGATGGTAAAGAAAACCACAGGTACTGCAACAGAGCTGATTCTCATCTTCGCAGAAGAATTTTAGAACTTCCTGATGTTGATCACATTGGTCTAATCCTTTCATATCAAACGAGTTTTGTTTCATTTTCGCCTCATTCACGTTCACTAACTTGTGATTTTTAAAGAAATTGTGTGTGTAATGAACGTTAGAACAATCCAAACACTGAAATTCATCACAAGTTGAACAGAACTTTTCTGCTGTCGCTCGTTTTTTGTTATTGAAACATGGTTTGCACAAAATTTGTTCCACTCGTCCTGGTACCTTATCATGTTCCACTCGTCCTGGGACCTTATCATGTTCCACTCGTTTTGGGACCTCATCATGTTCCACTCGTTCTGCTACCTCATCATGTTCCACTCGTTCTGGGACCTTATCATGTTCCACTCGTTCTGGGACCTTATCATGTTCCACTCGTCCTGGGACCTTATCATGTTCCACTCGTTTTGGGACCTCATCATGTTCCACTCGTTCTGCTACCTCATCATGTTCCACTCGTTCTGGGACCTTATCATGTTCCACTCGTTCTGGGACCTTATCATGTTCCACTCGTCCTGGGACCTCATCATGTTCCACTCGTTTTGGGACCTCATCATGTTCCACTCGTTCTGCTACCTCATCATGTTCCACTCGTTCTGGGACCTTATCAAGTTCCACTCGTTACTGGACCTTAAATCATGTTCCATCGTTCTGGGACCCCATATGTTTTCCACTCGTTCTGGGACCTTATCATATTCCACTCGTTCTGGGACCTCATCACTTCCCGCATTTATATCACAACTTTCTGCCATGTTAAATCAAAACTAGTCACTAGGAATAAAGTTTAAATACGTTGGTTAGTTTTGTGATACTTTCGTGTTTGTGTACAATTTCCGCATTTTATACGGTTTAAGTGATTTACTAAGTACTTCTATGAAAAGCGGTTGCATAAGTAAAGCTGTTCTCGTGATAACATCAATGTACAGGAAATAAACACTAGTATATGTTGTTTTATCAACGTGAAAAACACTTTCAAGTAAAGACAAACTAAAATTTTCAAAAGCTTAAAATTTATCTATATATGCAATAACAAAATAGATTCTCACACTGACCGGACTGACATAAATGCAACAAAAACATTTTCATTCAACTTGAAACCTTCAGGCTGATTGAACTGGCATTATTTAGAAATACTAAGTTCTTTAAACTGACTGTACTGGCATTATTTAAAAAATATTTAGTTCTTCATACTGACTGAACTGGCATTATTTAAAAACACTTAGTTCTTCATACAGACTGAACTGCTGGTATCATTTAGAAATACTTAGTTCTTCATACTGACTGAACTGGCATCATTTAGAAATACTTAGTTCTTCATACTGACTGAACTGGCATTATTTAGAAATACTAAGTTCTTCATACAGACTGAACTGGCATCATTTAGAAATACTTAGTTCTTCATACGTACTGAACTGGCATCATTTAGCAATGCAAAATGTACTTTGTTAGTCAAACTGACTGAACTGGCATTATTCAGAAATACTAAGTTCATCATACAAAATGAACTGGCGTCATTTAGAAATACTTAGTTCTTCATACTGTTTGAACTGGCGTCATTTAGAAATACTTAGTTCTTTATACTGTTTGAACTGGCGTCATCTACAAAAACTTAATTCTTCATACTGTTTGAACTGGCGTCATTTAGAAATACTTAGTTCTTCAAACTGACTGAACTGGTATTATGTTGTCATGTTGATGGCCATTTATCTACACATAAGTTTTACCATTACACATTTTAGTGAGGACGAAATTGAATATTAAAAACAACTGTCCAGGAAAAACATTATTCATTTTAGTGCGTTGTTTGCGGACGAGAAGTAGCATTACAGGCACTCTACTGAGATAAAAAAAAACCGTGACGTGACTGTAATTTTTTTTTCGAGATTCATGCTTCATTTGAAATAGGGATTGACCAAACATTTGTGTGTAAAATGCTCACACCTTTTTCCAGAACAATTCTTCTGATTATCAAAATGACCCAAAATTGAAAAGCGTTACAACAAAATTTAGGATTTTCAATTACCTTCCTAGTATATTTCTTAATGTTCTTTTGCATATCTTTCTGTTTTAAGTCCCCCTGTTTATCTATGTAAGAAATTCAAATATTATGTTTTACACGTCTGGACCTCAGTGAAGCTTTCCTTTAAATTTGCAAACACAAATATAAAAAATTTTTGCCCTTTAAAAAATGAAAATTTTACCCAACCCTAGTAAATTTCATTTTAAGGTTGGACATGTTTAAATTTTTAAAAATTTTGGGAAACATTTTTTAATTAGAAAAAAGGGGGAAAGTCGAGCAAAAAAAATTAAATTACAAATTATTAAAATTATTATTGGAGACTCTTTTTAAAAAACAATGGAAAAAAATTTTTTTTACAAAGAGCTCAACAGTTGTTATTTCTCTTCTTGAATTGTGTCGGCAGTCAGCCGCCCCTGGTAACGTTATATTTTTGTTTTTTTTGGTTTTTTGAAATTCCCACACCGAAAAACAATAAAAGGGTCAAAAACGGCAAATTTTTCCAACCCCTTTTTTACTGGGGGGACTCAGGTGCCTTTCCATGCATTTTTTTAAAGGCACGAACATCTTTTGCACCAAGAAAAGAACCACTGGCGTTCCGAAACCCTAGCTGGATAGTTTTTCCCCACATGTGGGGTTTTCAAACCCCACAGCAAACCGTGGGGAGTGGTTAAACGTTTTCCTTAAATTTCCCGTGCACTCAAAGTATGAGGGAAAAATCTCCTTTAAAGATAAGTCCTTTTATGGAAGGTCTGTCATCAATCGAAACATCTCGGCTTTTAAATTTAAAAAATTTACTTTTTTCCGAATTTTTGACGGGAAAGGGGCCCGAAAAAACGTGCGTTTGGGGTTCTTCATCCTTAATTTTTTTAAATTGTTTTTATTTAAAATTTAAAGAAATTCATAGGGCCATGTAAGGAACAAATTATTTTCAATCATTTTACATGTTCAAACTAATAAACTTTTTTTAAATCCTTTTTTTTTTTTAAAGAAATAGCCCCTATAAAAAATATGCAAATGATAGATTTCTTTTGGGTTTTTTATAATTTTTTAAATAGTTAAAAAAAACTTTTAAATTTTGAAACTTCGTTCACAATCATTAAATTTTGGTTACCGATAAAAAAAATTATCATAAAAAAAATTAAAATGAAGATTTGATTTTCCTTTTTGGGTTAAAATTTCAGATGATAAAGAGAAAATAAATGATGATCCCTGGTGAGGTGAAGATGTGTATAAAATAGGATGGGTTTGATGAGGGGTTTTTGATGAAAAAGTCGAGGGATGAAAAATTGAAAAATAATGAAATAAGGGAAATGTTTGATATGATGGATTCAGTTTTTCCCTGCTTCTGCTGCTGCGGGCAAATGAAAAAAACTTTTTAAGATTTATAAAAAGCATTGAAAAAATAAAAATTTGGGGCCAAACGTACTGAAATTTGGTGTGGGATGGGATGGGTTTAAAAAACATTTCAGTTTTGGTTTTCCCGGAAATTTCCCAATAATGAGGGTGAATTTCTTTTTCCAAATTTTTCTATTCCTATCAAAATTTAAAAATTTAATTTAAAAAAACTTTAAAAAAAAGGGGGAAAATCTTTTGGGGAAATTTTCTTTTAAATTAAACGTAAAAAAAACCCTTTTTAGAAAAAGGTCCAACGGGACAAATAAAATTTCGTAATTAAAAACGGCCTTTTAAATGCGATGTGAGGGCGGGGGGAGGGGGCCCCTGACTAGGGTAAAAGGGGGGTGCCCCATTGCATAAAAAAACCAAGAAAAAAATTTCCCGGGAAAATTTCCCGGGAAAAATGTGTTTTGTCACGCGAAAAAAAAAAAAATACAAAAAAAAATTTAAAAGAAAATTTAAGGTTCCCCCAAAAAAAGCTTTGATTTTAAATTTTGGACAGGTTAACTTGTTAAAAAAGGTTTTTTTGTATTTTCTAAATGAGATCAGAAAATACATAAGCTAACATCCCCTTTCTAACAAAAAATTTTTCCCCAAACCCAGACCAAAACAACGCAAAGTATTCTCACTAAAAACGCTTAAATCCCACAATTAAAAAAAAAAAGAAAAATTTTTTTGTTAAGGTGCCCAAAAAATTACTAAAATTTAAAATTTTAAAAAGAAAGCTTTGGCCCTTATAAAAATTGTCCAATAAATGCAATCCCCAAATTTAACGCGGATAAATTTATGTTTTAAATAAATGAAAATGCTTTTTTTGGGCGATGCCCGATTCCCGAATAACACAAATAAATCTGACTCCCCGATATTGAAATATATAGTTTCCACAATTTTGGGGGATTTTTTGGGCGAAAAATTTTTTGCAAAAATTTTTTATTTAAATTTTTAAACAACCAGGTTTTTAAACCCTGAACAAAATCATGTACCTCAAAATTACCCTCCCCCCAAAAGGCCCAATGGAAATTCTAAATTTTAGAATGAATTGATTTTTTAGCCGGGCTGCTTTAAAAACCCCGAAAGAAAGGGAAAATTTCTAAATTTAAAAATTTTTTGGGAATTTTTTCACCATTGTTTAAATAAGACTTCCCCGTGGGCGGGGGTAACGGGGCCCGTTTGGGATAAAGAGGTCGGGGGAGTTCAAATCCCAGCCCCAGTAAACTTTTTTTAAAATTTTTTTTTGTGTCTTTTTTAAAGGGAAAATGCCAGAAATCAAGGATAAATGTGGCTATCAAAAAAAAAAGAACATAAAGATTTTTTGAAACAAACTCTATTTATGCAAAAATTCCGTATGTATAAAACCCTTTGGTGCCATGCAAGAGAATTATAGTCATAAAATAAACTTTGGAAAAACACATACAGATAAAATTACGTTTTAGATTGAAAAATATCAAAAAAATCCCACAGAGATTCCCGGGCCCTTTGTTAAGTATTGTAATGTAACTTTGTTACAAAAAAAGCCATCATATTTTAGTAGACAGAAAAAATTTTATCTTTTTTAAAATCAATCCTTTGAGTGAGATCAAACCCCTCATAAAAAAGTTTCATGTTGAATCTCAAAGGTTTTGAAAGTTATCCCTTTTGGACAAAATTAAGTATGAAAATTCAAAGGGCAATACCTGAAAAATAAGACCCAGTGGTGGGGTTCCCGGCACCCCTCCTAAAATAAAGTTTTTATCCACCATGAATTTTCACGTTAAATTTCTAACACGTTTGAGATAAGCCCCGGGAACAAAAAAGTTTGAAAATAACAAAAGGCAATAACTTCAAAAAAAAAAGGGGTAAATTCTTGCGCACAACATTCCTCCTAAATAAGATAAAATCCACCAATGAATTTTAAATGTTGAAATCTCAAACACCTTTTTGGTTTTAGCTCCACTCGGTGAAAAAAAAGGATAAAAAATTTACAAAGGGAATTACTCAAAAACTATAAAGGAAGAGTCTCATTTCTTTTGCACTGCACACCTTGAGTGAGTTTTTAATTTTAACCCTATGAATTTTTTAAATGTTTGAATTTAAATTTGGGTTTTTGTATTTTAAATGAATTTTTGTAACCTCTAAAAAATTTTGAAAAAAAAACCAGAAAAAAAATTTAATGAAAAAAAAAGGGGGGTTATAACTCAAAAAATTAAAAAATTGGTTATATAAAAAAAGGGTTTAATAATTAAAATTATAAAAATGGGAAAAGGTTTACCCCATTTTGTAAAATTTCCTCCAAAAATTTAAGTTTTTTCCAAAAATTAATTGAAAATTTTTTTTTTGTTGAAAAATTTCACAAGTTTTTTTTAGAAATTTTTTCCCCCCTCAGGTGAAAAAATTTATTTAAAAAAAAAAACAAAGGGGAAAAATTAACTAAAAAATATG